GGGTTCCCCCTAGGGAGAAGTGGGGGCATCACTCTGTCGCAGTAGTCATTGTCATGTATAGAAAAGATACACATTTCATGCGTAACCAATTATTCCAATTTATTAAAGAAACAGGTTATTTTATATTTGGAGTAATGTTATTAGTTGTCTGATGGCAAGAATTTTGATAAGTGACTCTTTTGGATAATATTTAGATGATATTCTAGATCATTTTTGTTCACTTTAGAAATGTGACAAGAAGAAAAAAGGTCATTTTGGCTAGAATATGTGTTAATAGCTAATTGGGGTTTTGATGTGATTTATAACCCTTTTACTCACATGATTTTGATGTTTTTGTAGGAGTTAGAAATGAACTTTATTTTGCATAAGAAACAAGCTTAAATAGGTTGATTAAAATCCTAAAGTTCGCAAAATTGGTGAGTTTCAAAGGTTGTTCGAGTCACATGTGCAAGAAATTAAAAAAACTTGTCAAACTAGAAAGTTGGACCAGATCCTTAGTAGAATCCTTGGCCAGATTCTAGGGGGGATTTGAGATAGAGAGTGAAGCTTTGAAACAACAAAATAATGGTGAAATAGGGAAGGAATCCACCCAAGAGTCCCTGGCCAGATTCTTGGCCTGATAGGAAATCTGCAGCCTGTGAAACAATGTCACTTTTTGGGCTAAAATTCAGTTAATAAGTTTATTAGAATTTTTAAGTGGTTTATGTCCCTTTTACTTGCATTATGTTTTTGTTTTTGTAAGAGTTAGAAATGGGCTTCATTTTGGATAAGAAATAAGTTTATATTATGTTGATTGAAGTCCTCAAGATTACAAGGATAGTAAGTTTCAAAGGTGGTTCAAGTCACAAAAGCAAGAAATTGAAGAAACTTGTCGGAAAAGAAAATTGATTTGAATGCCTCCAAAAATCCGTGCAAGAATTGCTGGAGCGATTCAAGGTAGTGAGCGTGACATGAAGGAAAAAATGCAAGTAGAAAATGGGATGAATCTAGCAAAATTGAGGGATTGCTGAGGGATTCTGGTCAAATGTTGCTACTATAACTTGTTCCACTGGATTTCATCTACATAATTTCACTTCTTTATAGGGACATTTTGCAGCTTAATTGCAGCTGTAATGATGATAATTTTAGTCTCATTTCTTTACTTTGTCTCATCTATATATATACATGCTTTGTGCAAGAAAGTGGAGAGTAGTTTTTAGCACTTAGAACTAGATATTTATCTCTCATTAGAGGAGAGAAACTTGTAACAAGAACTTGGAGAAAATCTTCATTGTGACAACTCATTTTGAAGGAGTAATAGAAAATCTTTGGGAGGTTGTTCATCTTTTGGCTAAGCTTTTCTTAACCTTCTATTTATTTTGTTCAACAAGAGTTATTGTAATGAATCTTTGTACATACTTGCTTTATTTAATACGTTGAATGAAGTTCTAGATCTAGGGAGGAGATTAAACTAATGATACCTTGAATACGAGTTGAATGTGATTCACTCTTGTTACATCTTGTACTAACTTGTCCATTTATTCATATGTTAACTTTTGTGATTGCTTGATCACCAATTACAAGTCCTTAGTTATTATTATTCAATAATAATTGGTAACAATAATGACAATGTGATAAGTGAAACTCAAGGAGTAGACTCATGAGAGTAGAGATACACTTAAGTGAATTTTCTTGAGCATTTTCATGTCGTAAATGAACTCGTTTTAGATTTTTACCATGGGAGTAGGGGAGACTAAAATTAGTAATAGCCAATAGATCATGAGAGTGTGTTTTGGTTACATTGGGAAATGAACCCTTAGTTAGACAAGAGTACGTAGTAACAAGAGGTGAGCTCATTCACTCATAGTTTGGGATCATTAGTGGTTTCTACAACCTTGATTCTTAGTATTTGGTGAATTTTCTCCAATTGTTTTCTTTACAAGCTACTTAGTTCAGTGCATTATTTGTTTTTATTGCATTTAAATTAATAATTAGTCTAAATAATCGAGTAAGCAAAGGACTTAGTACTTGATAAAAAGCTCCTCATGAGATTGACTCTTATACACCATAGACTATAAATTCGACATGTATATTTGCAGCAACATGTGTATTTTCGAAATAAATCTTGTGCACGTATTTGAAACCCATCAATATTTGGTATGGCTTGCTGGAAATCTTTGTTCTATGGGTAGATGAATCTATTTGTTTCATGCCTGTGGTTTGATGCATAGTGAATATTGTTAAATCTTGTGCTTGTTGATCTATCTATTCTTGTTTTAACATTTATAGTTGCTTGATCACCAATTGCAATTCATCTAGTTATTGTAAGTCAATGAGAATTGGTAACAATAAAGGAAAAAGGAATAGGTAGAACCTAAGGAGTAGACATATGAGAATAGTGGTACACTTAGGTGAATTTTCTTAGTTCATTTCATAGATCTCCATGGGCTAAATCTAGCAACTTCACCATGAGAGTTGACGGGTATTTTACATACGTGCAAGTTAAAAAACCGAATTACACCCGTTCACTGCAAGTATACAGGTCAACTAATAGTTTAGGGTATAGTTTTTGGCCCAACTTCAACCGATCTTTTCTTGATGTTAGAAGCTGAACCAGCTCATGTCTAAAACATGAAAGTTGTAGCCTTTTGAGTTATCTTTCCAATGCATCAAGAATCACCTCATTTGGATCTGTATAGGCTGATATATGACTAAAATATCCTTGCCTGCTCCATGCCTTATTCCAGTTTCGACCAATAGCAATTGATTCTGTACTTCGGCTTTTTGACCTGGAAAACCTTCAAACTGGATTCAGATGTTTTCACCAAAGTTGTAGATCTATCTCTTATCTTCAAATGAGTTCAAGAATCATCCCAATCTGATCATTGTAGCTCAAGTTATAGCTGAAATACGAAAATGTGTCAAAACTGTCAAAATACACAAAATTCAAGTAAAAAGTGATAAAAACGTCAGGTTTGTTTGGATTGCTTCATATTTTCCCAATTTTATTTGCTTACATCATCTTTACAATTTCCAATACACCTTTTTATATTCCCAATATATTTTTATCTCACATACATCACATCACAAAAAGTGCTACAGTAAAAATATCTCAAATAATCCCAAATAACTTACAATCCAAACAGACCCTCATTTAATTGAACAAAAGCATTTTATACCAATTATAGCCAAAATGAATCATTTTCTTCCAATAATATACCCAAAGTGACTAAAAATAATATAAAATGTCATACAATTATTACGTAAATTAGTCACTTATCAAGAGTAGGGATGCCTAGTTTTGGTAAAAACTTGATTTATTGGCGAGAGCGAGTTTCAAATGCATTGGAAAATAAAATCTTACAAGACAACAGTTAAAAGTCATATTTTACCCTCTTTAGTCCTAGTTTGAACAAATAGTGGATTCTATTTCCTAAAACTTGTGTTTATTTGATTCCTCCATTCTTGTAATTTTTTCTAATTTACTTGTTTTCATCATTTAGTCTTTATTTCATAAATTTGAGGTTGTTTGGATAATAAAGCAAGTAAAAAAGTCTTATTAATTGCTAAATATTGCTCCTCTTGGGGTCAACAAACTAATACCTCCTATACTCATTAACAAACTGTAAACTTGCAGGAATCGAGGTAACTAGGTTATTAAGTTTGCTATAAGGCAAGACCTCGTCATTTTTTACTGTTTTACTGTTAAAGGATCTTTTCTCTTGCTGCAAAGCAAGTATTTCAAGTATTGTTCCAAACATAGACACGTTGTTTTAAGATAACCGGAGTAGTATAATCATTGTTTATTTATTACTTCTTTTACCGTCATTCCTTAAATTACAAATCTCGACAGAGTTTCCCCAAAGGTTTAATGATCAAACTTTGGCACCAAAAAATAAGAAACAAAGAAACTCATTAATACCAAATATTTTTATTTTTGTTACAAAACTCATTTCCTTTAAATTCTTTGAGACCAAAGATCTTAATATTAATGTAGTAAATATAAGAAGATATAAGGCAAAAACATATTATAAATTGTAAAGCACGAAAATAAATGGGGTAGCAATGTTACTAAACCCACCTGAACCTAAGACAGACTAATACCTTCTTACCATAGATATCGAAAACAAGCACTTGGCCACCTTAAACGTTTTGGACACTCACATTTTACCACTATATAAATTCTATACAAGAATATTTAGATGAGCTATTAGCAGTGAAAATACAAATGCCGTTAAGTTGGGAAGGAGGGCGCAGGTAAAGTGTATATATTCAAATGCGACTAATAAAATGTAATTACCCCCAATTCTAAGGGGGGAAAAGTGTCATTAACACTAAATAAAAAGTTATTCAGAAAGACTGGAGAAATAATAAGTTTATTTTGTGGGAGCCGGGAAATGATTCCTTTCAAAAAAATAATAACTAATTATTTGTGTTTGCGTGTGTAGAGATAGCAAGATTGAGTCAAGATACACGAGGAAGACCAAAACAGAAGGAGAAGGAGGCAGAAAAGGAGGAATTAGCTGCATAGGAAAGAACAAAGAAAGAAAGAAAGAAACAATGAAAGACAGTGCAAATAATCTTGTTCAGTATTCAAAGTCGAAAATTTTCAACAATTAGCTGACTAAAAGTGTAATACGCCGAGAAAAAGATAAAAATTTTGTTATTGTACATATAATAAAAGTCAAGTGGGGTTATATCCGCGGTTAAGAATTGTAATTTATTTTTAAGGATTTGGTAGGTTCATAAATGAAATAAAAGCTTGGGGGATCAAATTTTAATTTTTTATTTCTAGTTATAGTTCTAAGTCTCCAGAGAAAACAACAAAAACCTAATGTTCTTCATTAGTTTCTTTTGCCCCAGCGACAATAAGAAATTAATAAGGCAGCTTCTAAGCCAAAAGGGTTTCAAGCGACTGTAAAGAAGCAGTGGTTTAGGTGTTCAGGGAAGGATGTGCCTGTGTGGAGTTTCGTCATCGGTGACAGAAAAATGGCAATTCACGGGGTGCAATTGTTTTAGATATGTCGAAGGTTCCATATTATACAAAAGTTAGGATGGTAAGTGGGTAATACATATAGGTTTTGATGATGACCGACTGCCTGGTTAAATCTGTACTTCGAAATGGATTTCATAGGAGTACGACATAGTTTTGGTTGTTTCTGTATTAAACTAGTGTACAAGTGGTATTTGCAGGTGATTTTTCGATTCCGCAGTAGCTAAGGTATGCTTTTGGTACAATAAGTTACGGGATAATATTCATGGTTTGAATAATATAATTAAAGTTTGCAAATAAAGGTTGGTGCAGGGAGCATCAAATAAAGGCATTGAACAAGCAGAATTTGCATTTCATGGATTACCTCACAACCTATTTCTTGACTCGGAACTTTACCCAGTGTAGATTGAGATTTTAGTGGGCGTTGATTTGCAGATTTCATTGTATCTTGAAATTGGAAGAAGCCTCATTCCTCACTAATACTTTTTTAATGATTAATTTTCTATACATTGATAGTATATACACATAATCTAAATTTAAATTTGAAATTCAAATTTTTGTATATGTATCAGATATTTAATTATGATAATATGTATAATGTCAGTGCGTATAGAATTAAATTTTTTTAAAACATAAATTTATTTATACTAAAGCCGAAGTTATGAATTTTCTTTGTTTGTGTACTTTATTTTTCTTTAAAAAAGCATCAATTAAATAATTGTTTGTTGATGTAAAATTAAATGAGATTCGTTAATTCCTTGGATCAATTGTTACTTATTTTAAATTTTCAGTTCAAAGGCCGATTTTGCAGCTTAGTGTTTTCGGCTCCATGATAATGTTCAACGCATAAAGTTTGTTCCACAATGAATTGAGGCCCCTCAATGTCATGGTGACACTCTTCAACTCATGTCAATGTACACTCTTCAACTCACGTCAAGCTTTCTCAAGGGGAAGAAATTCAAGATGGGATTTCTGATTTATCGCAGCAACGGACTAATGCTGGGTCATCGCAACAACAAAAACCAACTCTTGCTAAAGTTGGTGACAGCCCATTTCTGTCTTCACTGCAGCCAAGGGGTGAAACAAAGCACACATCTCCTTCACAGCATCAAACCGCTCTCACTCTTGACAATAATTTTGTCCAGGTTGATGTGGGCATTGTAGAACTAGAAGAGGCTTTGTCTGACTCGAGAGAGGAAATATCAGATGCCGAGCTCCAACTTGCAGAGGCGGAGGTCTCCAATGCAGAACATAGACCTGGGAGATTATCACCGAGAGGGATGTTATCTGGGCAACATGGTGAATCCGAATCCTTGGTTATTGATATTTTTAATCTTGATCCCATCATTCAACAAGCTCAACACAAGGTTACTGGCGGGAAGGGGATTAATTTGGTTAATAAGGCAAAACCGAAGAGTTCTCGAATCCTTCCCACCAGTAATCGGTCTTTACGCTCTAAGTCAAAGTATCTTCAAACTCTTTCTCTGCTTTGTCTCATGATTAATTTTTTATTTTGGAATATTCGGGGTATCTCGCGTACTCCAAATTTTCAAAGGTTGAAACGGTTGATTGATGAGCTTTCTATTCCTTTACTGGCTATTTGTGAGCCTAAAACTTCACCGTGTGACATACATTTGATTGGAGCTCGTCTCAAAATGGAATGTTGGCTTGTCAATAGCCACGGTTCTATTTGGGTTTTCTTCCAGAAATCGTTTACTTGTGATCGTGTTGGAGAATCGGCTCAACATTTATCTCTTAAAGTTACATCTCAACTTTTACCAAGTCCAGTTTATGTCTCTTTTGTTCATGCAAAGTCCACCGAGCAAGAGCGTACATTGCTTTGGACCAATTTGTTAGCTGAAAATCCTTCAGATTGCCCGTGGATGGTGATGGGGGACTTCAATGCTATTGTTAGTACAGATGAGAAGAGGGGCGGATTGCCTTTTCGAGTGGATGAAGGGATGGAGTTGAGAACATTTATGTCTCTAGCGGGTGTTTCTGATGCTGGCTTTTCGGGGTCGCCCTTTACATGGTGTAACAATAGGGGTGGTTTGGCTCGTATTTGGAAGCGTCTGGACAGAGTGCTTGTGAATCAGTCGATTTCTTCGTTGGGAGTTTCTTTTATGGTGCAACATCTGGCAAGGGAACCTTCGGACCATTCCCCACTTTTAATTTCGACTTCAACTAGACTGGACAACAAGCCTAAACCATTTCGATTTTTGAACATTTGGATGATGAGGCCAGAATTTTTGGATGTTATTAGGTCAAGTTGGGCAGTCCCATGCTCTGGGAAACCACTACAACGGCTGGCTACAAAGTTACGCTTTGTTAAGTGAGCCGTCCAACTTTGGTCTCGTGAGGTGTTTGGTAATATTTTTGATGCGGTGAAGCAAGCTGAAGAAGTAGTAGAGGTAGCAGAGAATGCATTTATCAATGAGCCATCTCAACCACACTGGCTTTCTCTGCAAGAAGCAAGGGCGAACCTGAAAAATTCTCTTGTTAGGGAGGAAGCGTTTTGGAAACAAAAATCAAGAGTTAAATGGTTGAAGGACGGAGACACAAATTCGAAGTATTTCCATTCGGTGGTGGCGGAGAGGAGAGCTAAATCAATCATACATCGTATTAAGAACGACCAGGGGGAGTGGATATCAGACGAAGACCACATTTCGGCAGAAGCGGAGAAATTCTTCAAGTCATTACTATCAGCGGAGCCTACCATGGGATCATTGAATGTTTTGGAAATGGTTCCTAAGTTAATTTCTGCAGAACAAAATGCTGAATTGGAACGTTTTCCCTCGAATGATGAGATAAGATTTGTGGTATTTTCGATGGATGGGGAGAGTGCGGCTGGACCGGACGGTTTTACTGGTGGTTTCTTTACTTTTGCATGGGAGGTGGTTGGCACAGATATATGTGAAGCTGTGACGAGTTTCTTCTGTGGGCATGAACTGCCGAAGAGTATTTCCTCTACATTGCTCGTGTTGCTCCCCAAGATTAATGCCCCCCAAAATTTCAATCAATTTCGGCCTATCAGTCTTTGCACCTTTGTCAATAAAATAATTTCAAAGATCTTGGCTGCTCGCTTGGCAAAGGTGCTTCCAAGCATTATTTCTCCTCAACAAAGTGGATTTGTAAAGGGCAGGTAGATTTTTGATAATTTTCTATTGGCTCAGGAGCTGATTTCTGATATTCGAAGACCAAATAGAGGGGGAAATATAGTTTTGAAGCTAGATATGACAAAGGCCTATGACAGGGTCTCTTGGCCTTTCTTGCTTCAGGTGTTGAGAAGGTTTGGGTTTGGAGTAAGGTGGATCGATATGATTTGGCGATTGATTTCTAATGTTTGGTTTTCGGTATTAATCAATGGTGCTACCCAAGGTTTTTTCAAATCCAGCAGGGGGTTGCGTCAAGGAGATCCTATTTCACCGGGCCTTTTTGTAATTAGTGCCGAGGTTCTTTCTCGCCTTCTTAATTCCTTGCTTCTTAGCAAGGGTTTTAAGCCGTTCAAAGTCCCTCCAGGTTGCCCGAGTATTACACACTTGGCCTATGCCGATGATGTGATTATCTTTTCTAGTGGACTGAAGCGATCAATTCAATTGGTCATGAACGTTCTACATTCTTATGTATCGGTATCAGGTCAGAAGGTTAATCACCAAAAGAGTTGTTTCTTGTTGCATTCTACTATCCCTAGGGTACGCAAAAGTATGGTTGCAGAGATCACTGGTTTTCAACCACGCGAGTTTCCTGTCAAGTACTTGGGTTGTCCATTATATGTTGGGCGGAGAAAGAAATGTTATTTCTCGGAAATTTGCGATTCGATTGTAGGCAGGGTGTTATCATGGAAAGGGAAGTTATTGTCGTATGGTGGTAAGTTGGTTTTGCTTAAGAGTGTGTTGTCTTCCATGCCTATTCATTTGTTTGCAGCTTCGACTCCTCCCAAGTCTCTGTTTGGTTTTTTGGAAAAGATTTTCGCTAGCTTTCTTTGGGGCTCCTCCGACAATGGGCCGCAATTCCACTGGATTAAATGGGATCAATTATGTAAATCTCAGGAAAGGGGGGGTGTAGGTTTGCGTTCATTAAGGCATGTATTCGAGGCTTTTTCTATGAAATTATGGTGGCAGTTTAGGTCGCGACAGTCGTTATGGGCTGAGTTCATGCACTGCAAAATTTGTCCTAAAACTCACCCTTGCTTTGCTGAAGTTAAGTTGGGAAGCTCATGGACCTGGAAGAGGATGATGGCTATTCAAGGGAAGGCGGAGCAACACATTCTTTGGCAGTTATCCGATGGCTCGGCCAATTTTTGGCGTGATAATTGGTTGGGGCAAGGTCCGTTATGTCACCAGGTGGAAACCTTCCAGGAGTGTGCAGTCTATGACTACGTTGAGCAAGGTCGGTGGAATGTGCACAAGTTAAACGACGAGTTACCCTCATGGTTGGTGGGACGTATATTGAAGGTTGATCCCCCATGTCACACATTCCCGGATAGCATGGTTTGGGCCCCTAGCACCTCTGGCGATTTTTCAATATCAACAGCTTATAAATATGCACAGGGCGGTGGTAACATTTCTTGGCTGTACTCATCGGTCTGGATTCAGGGTTTGCCGGTTAACATTTCTTTCTTCATGACGAGATTGCTGAGAGCCAGGTTGCCTGTCATGGATAGGCTACATCATCTTGGGATACTAGGTCCATCTCATTGTTTTTGTTGCTCATCTCCATGTTCCGAGTCTATTGACCATATCTTTTGTAATGGGGAGGTGGCGAGCAAAATCTAGCATTTCTTTGAGGTGGTGGTGGGAGGGTTCGATCCTTCTTTCACAGTAAGACACAGGGTCATTAGTTGGTGGTTGAAACCTACTCATAACCCATACCTACAGTTTCTCATCCAATTGTTACCTTCTTTGATATGTTGGAACTTATGGAAAATGCGAAACAAAACCATGTTTGAGGGTCAACTTTTGCCGGTGGCACTCGTATGTGAGAGAATCATGGGTGACATGCATGATCTTTTTCACCTAAAATTTAAGAAGCTTTATTTGCAATATCAAGATTGGCCAGGTTTTTTTTCTACAGTAGCTGGATTGGTGAGACGTTACCAAGTGCGAATAGTTCATTGGAGGTGCCCAGTGCAATCAATGGTGAAACTTAATTCTGATGGGTGTTCAAGGGGTAATCCGGGCATGAGCGGAGGAGGAGGAGTGCTTCGATCTTGTGATGGTGAGTTTCTTCTTGGGTTCTCCTGTTTCTTTGGGGAGTTTACGAGCCTACATGCGGAATTCAAAGCGCTTCTCTTTGGTGTTCGGTTGGCATTGGATAAGGGTTTCCACAATTTGCATGTAGAATCTGATTCTCTAGAGCTGGTTCATATTATTCAAGGTAAGGCACGATGTCCTTGAAGGATGCACAGGGAGTTACAAGAGATGTTGGAAGCTAGAAGGTTTATTAAGGAAGTTTCACATTGTTTTGGTGAAGCAAATAAGCCTGCAGATAGATTGTCCAATGTTGGGGTGGAATCGAGGGTATCTATAACGTATACGTCGGTCAATGAATTGCCTCGTCTGGTAAAAGGTGATATCACTCTTGATAGGTTGGGTCTTCCAAACTTTCGTAGATGTCAGGTTAAATAGCTGCTTCCATGCAGCATTTGTATGTTTGTGTTATCCTTTTTCCTTTCAATAAAAAAATAATAAAAAAATGGTTCGACTGAAAAAAAAAAAAGTTCAAAGGCCGATTGTTTGGGGAATAAATTGTGTATTGTGTGTCCGTCCTTTCGAAACTAGCCGTGGCAATTGAGCTATATCGAGAATAAATGTGTTGCCGTGACCCAAATCAATGAGGTTAAAGTTGACTCATAACTTAGGTTGCCTCGCTTGGTTATGCAAGAGTTGTTTGGCGTGTTTAACATGATATTTATAAACAAGGTCTAATTGCTGAAGCCTTGGCTGCGTGATAGTATGAACCTTTATGTCATTGAAATATTATTTGATTTCATTTCTTGATCTAAATAGTTAGTAATTTAGTTACTTATTGGACTGTTAATTTCACCCCGTTATTATTGTTATTTTTGTTTCAGATATTTAAGAACTGAATGAAGCTATGCAATTGAGTACCTGATCTCATTGAAGTGCTTTAGTTTCAATTTCTATTTAATTAATGAAATATTTGTATCTGTGATATAGACATAATGTCTTTCGTTTAGTAACTTCTCCTAACTTGATTAGTAGATTAAGGATTTATTGAAGGTGTCTTCATTAATTCTTTTTGGTTGTAACTAAATTTGCTAGTCAACCCTGACTGATGCTTTGGCTTCAAAATTCAAGGTTTGACAAAAAGACGAAAAGACCCAATAGCCCATCAAACATCATGGTCCATAGAAGAAACTGGCACAATTCGTTTGGGATATGCTACTTCTAAAATTTGTTAGATTTACTATCTACATTAGAAATGATAACAAATTGATCTGTGTTGTTTTTAAGATTTTAAGAAAAAAGAACCTCTAATTTAAAAGATAGAATGTATTGCCCACGTGCACTTCTTAGTTGAAAGGTAAAAAAGAAAAAAAGAAATTAATGCATGCAATAAACATACTTAAAACCACCATGGTTAAGTATTCACACTACTAAGAGTTTGATTGTAAGACAACTTCTCCAAGTATAATGAGAAGATATTGAAAAATCTTTACCAATATATTGTATCTCATAACTCCCAAATAGTTGCAAGAAAATAGTTAATGGACTGTCAACATAAGAAATATAATGTGTTGTCTTCAATTGGCCAATCTAGAGGGAGACGAAGAGGTTGATAAGTGATTCTTATTTCTTTTTTAAGGGTTTAGAATCAGGACAAGGTTTATTAGGTTGACTTGAACATACCACTCCGAAAACTCAAAGTAAAAACTGTACAAATAGAAACACTTGCAACACTGCAAATGACTTGAGTAAGAAACAAATTAGATCAGATTATGTGCAACAAAGCCAATATCAAAACTTGAAACAATTGCAACTAGAACTCTCTAAATAAACAGTAAATTCCAACGGAAATATAAAGAGAATAAAAGAGAGATATGACAAAGTATTTAAAGTGGTTCGGCATTGAAGGCTTATATTCAGTACAAAAGGTCTTCACCCCTTAAGATTTTGGAACCTCTAACCAGATTAATTTAAATAGTACGCTGTTCTTGGTATTGACGATGGCAACAATACAAATCGCCAACTACAATTGCCTTTGCTTAATAGTGGCTCACTCTATTGAAAACACTACAACAAAAATGGTCTTTCCTGACACGTTTAAAATGACACTTGTTGGTTTGTGTCATTATAACACTTCTATCATGATACTTGTTATCAATTCAATAATATATACTTTAATTTTTTTTATTTTATCTGATATAAAAATAATAATGTATCTTTAGGCTCCCTATCATGACACTTGAGAAAATGTGAGACACATCAAAAAAGTTAAAACACAAAACCATGTCGTTTGATTTTGGTAGAGGATTCCTTTGCCTGCCAAAACACTTAGTGAAATCTCAAAACTTTCATTTTGCCGGCAAGTGAAATTTTGATTCTTCTCATCTCTCTCACAAACTCTCTCTTGGCAAACTATCTCTCAAAACTCTCGGCCAAAATTTTCCTTTGCCTACAAAGTTTTTTCTGTTGAATCTCTCCGCAATCAAACTACCCTTGCTTTCCTATTGAAGGTATGGACTGCACAAAGAGGATCTGGGAGAAAACCCACCACACGAAAGCTTTGAAAAAAGTAAAAAGAGAGAAAAGAAATTCCCAAGGAAAGAGGAGGCTCTGTCCATCTGAGAAGGAAGGAGCTAAGACCGGTAATTATGCTTGGGCCTCTCCTCGAGAGACCTTCACTGTTTTCAGAACCTGCGATTCAAGTGCCACCGCTTCTTGGCTCTCTCTTTTTGGGACCCCAAGGAAGAGGCTTTTGCCGAAGATCTTAATTCCCTCGTCATTGCAAGTTGGAGTGCCAGGAGGCTAAGGCCCTAAATTCAAGTGCACACAATCGTGCCTTGGCAAACTTGGGTAGCTTCAAGCAGGCCATGCGAAAGCAACAGCCCACGCAGGAGCCATCTGCCCTAACTGAAATGGGGATGAAGACTTGTGGGCTATTCATATCTAGCAGCGAGCAATCAGGTTGGTGACAGCGGAACAATCGATATCCAACCCCTTTGGCAGCAATCCAGATTCCAGCTACCGCACAACTAACCCTTGTTTGGTTGGGGTACTACTACCCCTTATTCAATAGAGGGCATTAGGGACAGCCTGCCTTTCTACAAAGATCCCAATCTCCCACCAGCCTAGCCACAAGAGTGTTGGATAGCCGAGTCCTTGAGTTAATATAGTTCTTGCAGCTTTTGCAATTTGATTTCTAGTTTCTAGTCTTATAGTAGGAACCTCCGCTCCAAGGATAAAAAGACCAGGTGAAAGGGGTGCGGGACTCTTTTTACCCCCCATGATATACCTCGTTTACTTCTTCCTGCCCTAAATTGATTCCTCTTGGTTGTCTACTTGAATCTAATACAATGTTTTTGTTGAATATGATATAATGTTTTTTGCTAAATCTCCCTGTTCAGCTTTAAGGATTTGTTGTCCATAACCTGTTCGATAAAATGTCAACCTTCTTTCCTTTGGTACTGATATTAATTTACTTAATAATATATACACTAATAGAAATTTAGTGAAAAAAAAAACCCATTTTCTAATATTGATACTACACTAATTTGTAGCTTTGACAATAATACAAGAAGGTAAATCTCTTTTTAGAAGCTAGTAGTCTCATTTTATTGGCTACTTGATGAAGATGCTATTTTTGGCATGGAGATCATTTTGATTTTGTGCAACAATGAATGTTTACTGCTATGTTCTACTGTAGCTTGAAATAACTCATATAGTCGTCAATTTAATCAATCTAGGGTGGGTAAACGAATTGTGTCAATATATATACTCACATAAGACTCTGTTGCTGATAAGTGTATGTTTCCTTGTTAACTCGAAGGTGATAAGTTTAGCTGAACTTGTAATTTTTTTTTAATGTGCAAATATTATGATCATTGCTTTATAAGTTGGTAGATACACATGTTCCGTTGTTTTTTACTGTATTTCAAATTTTGTTATCTTCTGATTAATCTATGAAAAAATGCAGTCTCCCTATTGGAATATGATTCTGGTTATGTCGTTGGTTTAGTGATAGAACAAGTGGAGGACTCAGATTAAGTTGTTCTGTCCTAGAAATATCTCATCTTAGTTTTTTGAACATTTTGGGTTTAACTATTTTGTCTTTACACTAAAACAGAAAGCTGTAATTCTATTTGGATACCTTAGTTAAGGAGACAGAAGAAGTGCACTTTCTCTAGAATGAAATATCTTTTCTGGTGTTTTATTAGTATGAATTCCTTGCAAGTAGTGCCTAATCAGTCTAACCTATATCCAATTTTTCTAGGTCAATCCTTGAAACCTGACTAGTTTGACTTTTACCAAATTAGCATTTTGAATTTTATGATATGACTACTGTGAATCTCATTCTATCTTTTATTAATTCACTCCAATTTGTGCTGAAAAAGAAATTTTGTGTGTTTATACACGAGGCAGCAGGTCCATTGAGTACAACTTAGGACTCCAGAACTTCGAAAGAAGACATGGAAGATATGTGGATTCATCCCAATGTTAATAAGGAATGGATGAAGTCAGGAGAGAAAAAGGGAAAAGTTCAATTTTCTCATGACACAGAGAAAAGGCCTTATCTTTCCCGTGTGGAACTA